AAAAAAAAAATATTGTACCTTACTCGAGGTAGATGAAAATATTAAATAATAAAACAATTATGTTATTGTTTTGATCACTCATGTTAGAAAGTGAAAAATATTGATTAAAAATCTTAAGGAAAGGTAAATAATCTTCCTAAAAAATGTACATAAATGCACAATTTTACAGGAAAACAGCAAATTTCAGCATTTAAGAAATCTCTAATTAAATGTGAAAACCTCACTAAAAATCAGCTTAATTAAAAATTTGAGGGTCTGGACACAGTGGCTTATACCAGTAATCCCAGCACTTTAGGAGGCTGAAGCAAGAGGACTGCTTTGATGCGAGGAAATTGTGACCAGCCTGGACAGAGAGATCCTATCTCTACAAAAACAATAAATAAATTAAAAAAAAATCTGACAGGCTGGTATTATGCTTGTAATATTTCTGAACTTCAGACTTACAAAATAAAATAGTATACTATCATTTTTGTTTTTAAAGATGCTTTTAAACACATAAAAAATTCACTATTTTGTTTAAGAGCTCCTGGGAAAAAACTGATGTAATTATCAACAGCCACACAAAACCAAATATATATTAAGTTCTAAATTTCATTTCATAAGAATACCACCTATTCAAAGTGCAAAGTGCATGAGCAACTCAGTGACAGGCCTAAGCTCATTCAGGAATCAGAAGAAATGTGTTTCCAGTTGAGGCTCAGCTCAACTTGAGAATTTCATGAGCACAATAAATCAAAAGCCCACCTTCAATAACTAAAGCAGTCATAAAAACAGTATTATGGTTACTTTCCTCCAGAGATAACATAATCTTCGGTCTTAGTATTGTGGAGCAGATGTCATTATGGGTGGGGCCGACGTGCGGAGAAACTTAAATATTTTGTACCACCCCCTTCCCTCGCCCCGCACACTTTCAATGGGATAGAAGGGGCTCCAGAAAGGTAAGACGGGAGCTCTCGCTCATCAATTGCTACTAGAAATAATGAAGTTTTTATGTGGCCTCGGTACTCTTAAAGACTACCGCAGTACTCTTAAAAAAATTCTCCTTGATTAAGTCCTTTTCCTTTAGGGAAAAGAGACTTCCCTTCTCCCCTCCCCTGCCGGCTCCTCCTTGGGACACTTGGCTGAGTCTTTCTTTCCCTCTTTGCCATACTGAGGTGAGGCGGCAAGCAGGACAGAGACGCCTGTTTTTCTCTTCGTGCGGAGGAACTCTGCGGGTAGGAAGCCGGGGTAGCGGGAAGGGAGCGGGCGGCAACCCTGGACGGCAAAGAAAGCTTGCCGGGGACAAGGTGGATACACGCGGGCCGCAGGGCCGAGGAGGCCGAGGTAACAAGGGAAATCTCCCGGCTTGGGGCTGGGACTGGGAGCTTCCGGCAGGCCACGGTCGCTCTCTGCCTAGCGCGGCCTGTGTGCTGGGCCCCAAATGAGCTGGGTAGGGAATTAGAAGAGAGGGTAACCGCGGCCGCACTTGCCTGAGATCGTTTGACCAATATCTGGTAATAGTCTTTACTCGGCGCCGGGCCTTGTCCTACAATTTCGAACAGAGTCTCCGGCAGCCACGACGCCATCTTGGGACGCCACCGCCGTCGCTAAGACAACCAGGAAGGGGCGGGGCTTGACTGGGGTCATGGGGCCAAAACCCTAGTTTAAATGAAACCCCGCTTTTGAGCTGGCAGGGGATACTCTAACTTGGGGTGATCGTCCCCTCATTCAGGGATCACAAGGAATCTTGATTCGTGAAATTTCTACCTCCAGGTCCTGGGTGACCCGAAGGGGAATTAGTTCCTGCTACCATAGAGGGGAGGGGGTGACCCCGGCGGAGGGATACCAAGAGGAGCCCACAGTCTCCTTCCTGGTCCCTCGAAGGGATCGGGAGGAGATCGGAGGCCGCTGGGGAGTCGAGCCGGGCGGCGGAGGAGGGAGGGGCTATGAGATGGGCCGCCTGTAGGCACCGGGGCAGGTCCCGCGGACAAGCCAGTCAGCCGAAGCCAGAGGGCAAAGTAGTTCCCTGAGGGTGTCGGAACGGGCTGGGAGGGAGGCGGCGCGGGCGGAGGCGCACGCCGGGCGCGGTGCTGCGGCTCAGCTGATAATTGAAGGGACCCGAGAGCCGCCGCCGCCGCCGCCGCCGGGGGGGGTGGGGGGAACGACTGGAAGTTACTGCCGCGCCACCGAGTCCTGACCGGAGACTTTGGGGCCTAACTAGGTAATTGGGGCGCAGTTCCGAGTGGCGGGGGCAGGCCTGGGGGGAGGGGGCCGAGCTGAGGGGTTGGGGGAGGGGGGGAGGAGCTGGAACAGAAAGTCCCAGGAAGCCCGGTTGTGTCATCGCCGCGATTCGGCCCCCGCTGGGCCTGCTCCCAGCGGCGGCGGGGCCGCGGAAGGACCGGGCCGGGGGTTGACGGGCGAGGCGCTCGAGGGAGACCGCGGCCTGAGGGACCCGGGCCGGGCGGGAGCGGGGGGATCGTTGGGTCCCCCCTCCGGCCCCCCCGCAATGAGGAGGGCCCTTCAGGAACCAGGGTAAGGCGTTCGGGTGTTGGGGAGCCCCGCGGGGGTCGGGGGGGCCGGAAGTGGGCTTTGGAGCTTGGAGGGCGTCTAGGAAGAGAGAAAGTGGGGGGCCGGAAGTACAGGTGGGGGGTGTGGAGACGGCAAGGGTTCCCCGGAAATGGGACGGGGGGCCCGGAAACCGGGAGAGGGCAGGCTCGGCGGCCGGGGACGGCCCGGAAATGGAAACTAGGGAGCAGCTCGAGTGACAACAGTTGTGGGAAGCGAGGGTCAGAGGAGGGAGAGGCCGGAGTGACTTTAGACCGCTGTAAGAGGTTTCCTGCCCAGGGGGACGGTTGAGGGCGGGCGAGCCCGGAGACGGGGTCTGCGCGGGGCAGTTGTTTTTTACCTGTGGGAAGTTGAGGCTCCCGACGAGAGGGGAATGTAGGGGGTTATGAAGGAGGCCGAGAAACTTGGCTGAGTGGACCAGAGCATCCTTTTAAATAAATTAGAATGGAAATTGGTGGTGGCGGTGGGGTTAACCAAGATTCGGGGGGGAGGGAGGTAGGCCAATTGTCACCCCAATCGTATTAGCATTCAGAGCGAGTCAGGCGATTAATTTATTTATATGTGGATTACATAAAACCTATTATAACATTTGCCCATCAGTTCAACCCCTCTCCTTCCTTCTCCATAGTGAGTGGTTTTCTAGTACAGGAACAAGTTAAAAGAGGAGTTCAAATTACGAACGTTGTAAGAATCTCATGTCCAGTCCTTCTCCGTGTCTCTCCCTTCCTGAGAGAAATAATTTTTAATTTGTTTGAAAAATTCATACAAATTTAAAAGCACGTACACATCAGGGGGAAATAACATATTTGAACTACTGATGGGGACAAGAGAGAATTAGTTACCCTCTGGTGAGGAGAGAACGGAAGGAGCTCTTCCAAACCCTTAAGACATCTTTGTTTTTGGCAATGCCTGTTTACTTTGGGAGAGATTTAGCCTAAGGATCGTGTCTGGCGGTGGTTGGTTATAGTTTAATTCCTTCTTTAGTTACTGGGGGAAGGAATGTGTCTTGTGTGTCTTGTGCGGGTATGGTTAATAGCGCTGTGAATCTGTTCTGAATGGGCATCTAACTGCTCTCCTGCTGTCTCCCTTCCTGGTCGTGTTCCCCGATCTTGCCTGGGCTGCCAAATCACCCGATTTCCAGGCTTTAGTCCGTTTTCTAGGCCCTTTAGTGATGTGTTTAACTTTCTATTCCTCTTGAGAGTCTCAGAAGATATTTTTGGCATTTCATTTTTTAAAACCCTGGCAAGTTGAGGCTCAAAATCTCTTTTAAAAACAAAACAAAAAATACAGGGTAGAAAGTTGAAAGAGCTATTGACTGGGGTAAAAAACCGACGCTCAGAACAAAGGTCCTAGTTGTGTTAGAAAAAAAGGCCAGAGGCCTGTATATGAGGCCTGTGTGTGTCGCATTTACACCCCTGGGGGAGGGAAGCAGTTAGGATTGAGGAGAGGAATTAGCAGGGGTTTAGAGACAATACATTTTGGAGAGTTGTACTGAGGCTTATTTTCACACTTAAACATGCAAAGAGATCAATATTAAGTGTAAGTTCTAAGGTAAGCACAATTTCTAATCTTTCCTTCAGCCTCAGAAATACTGAACTGATGTGGCTTTCTGTCATCTCTGTGAGATTATTTTAAATTTAAGAGAGCACATTAACATGGTTGGAATTTGTGAGCTTTGTACAAGTCTTTCTATGAATGTGCCATATCTATAAGAATCAGAGAACCGTAATTAAGATTACAATTGTTTCCATTTGATCCTCAGTTTTTCAAGTGTGTGAATGATTTTTAAGTCTGCTCAGCTGACATTTGCTACTTAGTTTGTGTTTATGTACTGGCTTTTGTTTTAGTTTTTTCATTAACTTCCTAAAAGTGGGGGCACAGTTCTGTCATTTAGAGTCTGAGATGGTGCTAAACTAAAATAGTTTTCTTTTCTTTTCTTTTTTTTTTTTTTTGAGACAGAGTTTCACATGGTCACCCTTGGTAGAGTGCAGTGGCATCTTAGCTCACAGCAGCCTCAAACTCTTGGGTTCAAGCGCTTCTCTTGCCTTAGCCTCTCAGGTATAGCTGGGACTACAAGTGCCTGCCACAGCACCCGCCTATTTTTTTGGAGAAGGGGTCTCGCTCTTGCTCAGGTTGGTCTCAAACGTGAGCTCAGGCAGTATACCTGCCCCAGCCTCCCAAGTGCTGGTATTACAGGTAAAATAGTTATATTTTATGAAAATAAGTGGGATATTACGTATACCTAGGTAAAATTAGTAGTTTCATCTGGCAAAGTAAATTTGGAGTAATGTTACTCCATTTGATTTGAGTAATGTTACTTTTCCATTTGAACTTTTAAGATTATATTTATATTATCTAGATAAGGTTTTATGATCCTATTTTAAGGTTGTCATCTTAGCAAAGAGACACATTAACTGACTTGAAAATTCACACACAGCCAAGTTAGTAGTCTTGTGACCTTAAGCTAGTCTCTTAACCTATCTGGTCTTCATTTTATTTGTAAAATGGAATGGGTAATCTTTATTTTATCTCTCTGGGTGGTTGGGAAATTCACTGAATATAATTGCTGCAGGGAAAACAATAAAATGCTAAATAAGAATAAATTGTTAATTGTTTTAGAAAATTACATTAGCTATTTTGAGGTCATTAAAAAAAAGATAACAGCTTGTTACCTGTGGTGTTGGTCCTAAGGAAGGGGAAATTGATTTAAAGTAGGTTGAAGATAGGAAGTTATAGCACATAATAATCTGAAATTGTGCTTAATTGGTAATGAAATTTGGGCCTGATTTTTATCCATTAAATTAATGTCTTTGGCATCAGCATACCAGATACTTTTTTCACCGTATCTCCTACTAAGTAAACTTGTTAATCCTTTTTAGAGAAACTTAAAATGTCTGTTTAATTACTGGGAAAATTTTTAGCTACCCTGGTTTGTGGCTCTCATGAAATTAACTTTTTTTTTTTTTTTGAGACAGAGCCTCAAGCTGTCCCCCTGGGCAGAGTGGCATGGCATTACAGCTCACAGCAACCGGCAATGCCTGTTTACTTTGGGAGAGATTTAGCCT